ATTCACCAAAATTTCAGGATATGCAGGATTTTTCTTCCTGATCGTTTTTGTGTCAGATGAATTAAGGTTTGGATGGTAAATGAAACGGCAGAAGTCAAAATACATAAGGGCTACATAGACATTTTTATGTAGAAAGCAATTTCTATTATGTTATTCTCACGTCATTTTGTTGATTTTTCGGCGTTGAAACCTCAAATATCAGATTCGGATAGCCCATCAAAAACTGCATTGAGTAAGCTGTGTTTCGCTGCTAAACAATAATTTCCCATTTGTCTCTGTTGGCTGCCTGATTCATATCGAGGAATTCGAAATCTCGATATTGTAATACCAATAATCGGATTCGACTCAGTTTTTGTCGTGATTCCAAAACTATCATTTGTTTTTCAGATTGGACCTATTTTAGTGGAGATAATTGGCGAATATCAACCCGACCAGAGCTATTGTGCTTACTATTTCACTCTTTACATAAAGCAAATCATGTGATTTTATAGCGTTTTTCAGGCTCTTCCTGGTGCGCCTAGGCTAGTGTAGACTTGTTGGAAAATTAGAGCCGTCCTAGAGTGAGTGGCGGCACCAGACTTTCCACCCAGGGTGGGCTGAGTCACTCTAGCTGATCCTTCGTGCCGCCACTACCTAGAGTCCTAATGATTAGGAAGATGTGCATTTTCAGCTTGTCCTTTGAATTTGGTCGATTTACAGACTAGAAAGTGAAAAACGGGGAAAACCTCATACACCACTCGACAGAGCGTCTGTGGCTCTATCGAACTACATATGCCACCGAGTCGCCAAATTTCATTTTCTCAATATTTTCTCCTCTAATGTCTACACATCTCTAGTGAGTCGATACTCAAGAATGGTTATATCAAACGCATACAGGAAATAATAACATTTCTCTAAAAAAGGTAGAGCTTCGTGCAGTTTTTGATGGACTATCCGAATCTGATATTGAAGTTTCAACGCCGAAAAGATAAAGCCGAAAAATCAACAAAATGACGTGAGAATAACACAATAGAAATTGCTTTCTACATAAAAATGTCTATGTAGCCCTTATTATTTCGACTTCTGCCGTTTCATTTACCATCCAAACCTTAATTCATCTGACACAAAAACGATCAGGAAGAAAAATCCTGCATATCCTGAAATTTTGGTGAATTTCAAAGCAATTGACTTTAGTCGTAGTAGAGACCCCATGGAAATATCCAATTATAAGATTGTCATGTTTTCAAAACATTTTTTTAAAATGTGATCTAAATTTTGATTGATGCGTTTTTCAAGCTACTGAAAATATTTCTTCCGAATTCTGAATCAAAAACAGAGTATAGGCGGATTGTTAAGTCGATGCTACATTCCAACATCTTTTTACGGTGATGCTACGAAATCATGGACCGTTTTTGTAACTCTTGAAAGACTTTCTACGTAAGCGATACAACGAAATATTTCATCGCGTTCGACTCATCATACCACCAGTCAAAAAACTCCGCATCTATTTTTCCTGTGTGAGCAAATTTAACTCGAGTTGGGTAAAAAAAATAGGCATTCTATCAAAAGACGACCTTCTTCTTTTTTTATACGACGCCACTAAAAACTGTTTTTGTACGACAAAACAAAGGTTTGTTTATTTCGAAACTCTCAAATTTGAGATAAAACGGCAACTCATCGCACAATTATCAACCAGAAATTTTCTCTTCGGTCTCGTTTGAAAGAAAAAAACGAAACTATACATATGTACATGGGGCACTACAAAAGCTTTTTCGTCCTCTTCGCCGGATAGTTATAAAAGTTGTTTAGTCGTTTCATTATAACGACTGAACATTTGTATGAACACGTGAAAAATTTCAAATTTCTATCTGTTATCGTTCGTTCCATACTTCAATTTCTTTTCGATCACTATCGTTCATTTTCAAAATGAATGTTAAACTTTCACGGGAGCAATTTTGAGCAATGATTTTGTACGACTGGAAAATCGGGTTAAGTTTCAAGGAAAGCCATATCCGGTTGGTGGAAGCTTGAGCTGAACAAGCACCTTCAGATCGTACAGTGCTCAATTGGTTACATGAATATCGACGAGGAAATCTGAGGGTTGAAGATGATTCTCGATCAGGTCGTCCATCAACAGTAGGCAATGAACAAACAATTGACGCTGTTCGGTCAATCATTGAACAAGATCCTCATTCAACATACCAACAAATAGAGAAGACCTTGGGCATCAGTTCACCAGCAATCAATTCAATTATTCATGATTACCTGAAGTTACGCAAGGTTTGTGCTCGATGGGTGCCTCATCAGCTTACTGAATATAAAAATTCTTACGTATGGAATTCTGTCGTTATTCATTCGAAAGATTCGAAGAAGGAAGATCTCGTCGTGTGTACGACATAATTACAGGTGATGAATCTTGGTTTTATCATTTCGATCCTGAAACTAAAGAACAATCCAAAGTTTGGGTGTCGAAAACTGATCAGCGTCCAACGAAAGTTCGTCGAAACCGAAGTTCAGGCAAACGAATGGTTGCATTTTTCTTCATGAAATCGGGTTTAATTAAATCAGTGACATTAGAATCTGATCAAAACATCACTGCTGCATGGTATGTTAACCACTGCTTGCCGCAACTGTTCGAAGCCGTATCTCAAAGAAGAAAAAAGAGCGCTCTACGAAATTTGATTCTTCACGATGACAACGCACGACCGCATCGGGCATGGACAACGACCGAATTTTTAACCCAAAACTCTGTCGAATCATATCAAAATCCTCCTTACTCACCTGATCTAAGCCCGTGCGACTTCTTCCTGTTTCCAAGATTGAAAAAACAAGTACGTGGAATCCAGTTCGTCGACGACAATTCAATGCTGCCAGCTTTAGATCAAGCCATCGGTAGTCTAACCGCAGACGATTTCAAAAACTGTTTTAAAGACTCGTTTGTTCGAAAAGAGAAGTGTATTGATGTTCAGGGACAATACTTTGAAAAAATAAACTAGAACCAGCCTTTCAAGATCTTTCCCAAAGGCGGATGAAAAAACTTTTGCAGTGCCCCATGTATATAAGCTGTTTTTCAATTTCAATGTCACCATTGAAATATCGAATTTTGACGTGTACCAAAATGGAGTCGAGAAAAAATTCTGAAGTATTCCTGAAATTGCGAGGCTTAAAAAATGAAATATAAAAAGCCAACGTCGAAATGTAGAACAAACATTTCTCTATCGTTTGATACCACTTATACCTTGATATGTTGAAAGGACAGCGGCGTATAAGACCGTAAATCGGCTCATTTCAAAATCGGCTTGGTAAATATCGAAAACGATGCAGAATGAGACGGACAATCTTTCTACACCTAATTCAAGTCAATTTGGACCATATGAAAGGTTTCCGATGGACAATACTACCTGGTATTTTCACTCAATTTCTACTCTATGATGACAGTGTTTCTAAAGGAATCATAACAAAAATCGTGTTATATCATCTACCAAATAGTTTCATAAGAAAGAGCAAACAATTCTGCACAAAATCATACACGAACCATCGTGAAAAAGCACGTATAGGGTGAACTTATGGTGTCTGAATAGCGTCTATGTGAATATTACGAGGTAAATCATAGGGATTTCTCTTTTAACGGTACACAAAAACACTTGGTGACGAGGTTCCCTATATACAGATCGATAGAGTTTTCCACGCGCTACAAAATGGTATACTTTTTACCTTTTAAAATTTTGGTGCAATGACTTAAAGTTGATAGTTATGAGAAGTAATGTAGAAAGATTTACAAGATGTATATAAGTTATCTATTCGAGAAATAGAAAGAGCAAGATCAGTACAACGAAGTGCGTAAGACAAATATAGGTAACTAATCACTGCCGGAATCAGTTTCCGATGAATCATCGTCATCGTCATTGTCGCTGTTGCTCACATCGTCTGAGTACTGTATACAGTCTTCAAGATTAGGTAAAAAACTATTTGCAGCAAGCTGATGGTCAGAAGAATTAGTTTCACCACGGCAAACACCTAAATGCCAAATCAAAGCTGTTGTCTGAGCACAGCAACCAATAATGTGAGCTCCAGCCGCACAAGTACAGAACCATCCTTCACTTGGTTCATCAATGACGCGAGGCAAAACGAACACGAACTAGATCTACGTGCTTTGTAGAAAGCTCAACAA